CTTCATTATGGATTTCCATTTTAAGATGTGGCCATGTTAGAGGCAGACTACTCCTAATATCAAATAACTCACTCAACCTTTGGCTTTCCAACCTGCATTCCCCTGAAGGGAACAGAAAAGGTAAAAAGAGAGACACAAAAATGCAAAAAGAGAACCTAGGTAAGCAGTCAGCAAATAGTACTTCCACAAACTAGCTGCAGCCTAGGCTTTGTTACAGCCTGCTCTACAGACAAGATGCACTTCCTCATTCAAAGGAGTCTTTTGGAAGCTCACTAGGGAACATTACATTTAGTCACTTAAGCAGAAGTAGAGGCCATGCGCAGTTATAACTAAAATTTGTTAAGCTTGCTTTAAGAAAGGTGCAAGTTACAGCATGTGCCAGTTGTTGCATGAAGCTGTCCTTGGGATTTTATTCGAAAGGGCTCAAGGTCTCTACAGAAGGACTGAGAGGCCAGACCCAGCCCTTTTCAAGGGTGCAGAGTAAGGATATTATGTCCAAGGTGGCTTTTGTAACAAATGCAAGTAAGGCTGAGCAGATGAGACTTTTAATTGTTCAAACACTGAATAATCCCACGGCATTAAACATAAGAGATCCTCAACTTGAGGTTAAACAAAAAACCCAAAACCAATCCCACAAGCCATGAACATTTCTCTATGAAGGTAGCTTGTAAAACTTAACCTCTCACACAGCTGGCAGCACTCCACTAGATAAGCAGAGCTTTCTGCACTTGTTTTCTAGCAGAGCCTGTGGATTTCTTTTCCACTGATTTGATGACTCCAACTGCAACAGTCTGCTTCAAATCCCGAGCTGCAAAGCGACCTGAAATGAAAAAACAAAAACTAAGCCAAACTAGGGTTAGCTATCTTTGACTCCATTAAGCAAGACAGGCTCTGTTCCTGCAGATGCCAGGGTTCCTTTAGTCCAGAAATAGCCATTTATGGAAGTTAGGTTGTGGATCTTACTGGGAGTGGAGAGCAGTCCAAATGGACCCCAGTCAGGGACTAGGTACTTTGATTTACATTTTCACTATGAAGGCAAAGGAGAAAGCACTAGCAGCTAGTAGGCAGCATTGTCATGGACTCCAGATACTTACCCAAGGATGGAAAGTCAAAAAACCTTTCCACACACATGGGCTTCCTAGGTATAAGCCTAATGAGAGCAGAGTCCCCAGACTTCAGCATAGATGGACTATCCTCCAGCTTCTGCCCAGAGCGACGGTCGATCTTCTCATAGAGTTCAGCAAACTGGCAGGTGACATGAGCCGTGTGGCAGTCTATCACTGGGGAGTAGCCGGCCCTGATGAAGCCAGGGTGGTTCAGGATAATCACCTAGGATCCAGAAACATCCCAGGAATAAAGTGGAGGGCTTTTCACCTCTGTGATTTAGGGGAGAATGCCCAAGATTTCTTGACACTGTCAAGCTGCTTCAGTTGGCAACCATCTGAAGCATCGGCTTTAGCACTTATACGTCCAGCATTTACCCTATGAATAGATTTTAAAACACCTCCCCATCCCCTACTTTAGGCCTCCTGGAAGTACCGTTTCAAAAGACACACCCTCCAAAAACTGCAGCTTCCTCATTGCTCATCCCAAATACCTGTTGGCCCTTCATGGGAGGCCTCCAGAACAGCAAACAAATCAACCTTACTCTGCCCGCAAATGCATCTCAGTACCTGGGCTATGAAGTGAGCTGCTGCTGCAGGAGGATCGTTCCTGGAGTTACCAGCTACATGGCCCCGTCTCAGGTTCTTGACTGCAATGTTTTTTACGTTGAAGCCTATGTTATAGCCAGGAAAAGCCACTTCCAGTGGCTCATGGTGCATTTCAATGGATCTGACCTCTCCCGATAGGTTTGTGGGGGCAAAAGAGACAGTCATGCCTGGTTTGAGAATGCCAGTCTCTATCTTCCCCACAGGTACAGTACCAACTCCTAGAGAAAAAACCAAAGTCACACACGTTAAATGCGTTTGTCAGAGCCGACTATATGAAGCACAGGTAGTACAGCAGAATAAGCTCTCCTGGCCAGGACAGGGCAGGTAAGCAACTTCAGAGTTCTCTCCTTCGAGAGGAAAGTTGACCCTCCAAGGGCCAGAAAGGTATCCGTGGCTATGCAGCTGCAAGAAGTGCAACAGGGAATTTCATATCTTCCAAAACAAGCAGGTATGAAGTTCCAGATTGGGCGAGTAGCTTCATTGCCAACAAGGAGATCCAGGGTGGTGGTCTCCAGCAAGAAGCACTGGTGACATGGCAGGCACGCACTCGGGGGAGCTCCACAGGGACTTCCTTATGAAGTCAGCAGGTGGAAGTCAGCTTGTGCAAAGAGGTGAGGACATCTCTGATGCCACTTACCAGGAAGGCAACACAGTTGATAGCTACTATAGAGCAGATGAAACAACAGCAAAGTAAGAAGATGCCACAAGGCATAAGCCAAGGTTACTGGACCAAACTAGTGCCCAGGTTGGTGGTGTTACTTATTTCCAGCTGTGACAGGGCTAGGAGCAAGCAAAGACTTCTCTTCGTGAAGGCTATTTGTGAGGGGCACAAGCAAAAAACACCTCAGATCTACTTGGGTTCATGCCTCCTCTCCCTTCTTCCCCCAGCAGTCCCATAAGGAAGTCCCAGGACCCAGCCCCTTCCTAAGACCAACCTCCAATCTTGTAGACATCCTGCAGAGGCAGCCTCAAGGGCTTATTACTCAAACGCACGGGAGGCAGAAGAGAGTCTAGCACTTCCAGAAGAGTTTGTCCCTTCCCATAACCTTCCTTCCGTTTGACCTGCCAGCCTTTGAACCAGCTCATCTGCAGGGGAAGCAGCAACAGCTGGGATGGACCAAGAGCTCCCAGAGCCAAGCCGCTCCCCAGCGGGCACCAGCTCCTTTCCCCACTATCTAGCCTGGACTAGACTGGTGCCTCCCACCAAGCTCTGGACCCCTCACCCACCCTGGCCCTGGGGACTGCGCTCCCAGCATGCAGATGCTGGAGACCATGCGAGGCCTCCCCATCTTTGCAGCCCAGCTCCTCTGTCCCCACCAGCCATTACCCCCCACCCCAGAGGGGTTGCTTGGGAGGGAGGTGGGCTTCCCCCAGCACTGCTCCATGTGGGCAGCTGCATGGCTGGTAGCTGCCGGGGTGGCCCACTGCAGCAGCTCCTGCCCCAGGTGAGCTCCCTCAGCTCCCAGTTGTGTAGGGAGCACAGCTGCGAGGGAAGCCACGGGGATCTTGGCTTTTTGCAGCCAGGGGCGTCTCAGCCGCGCCAGCTGTTGCCACGAGCACAGGCCTCCCCCTCCTTCCCTCACAGCCCAGCAGCCGCGCCCGCCGCTACCTTCTGGCTAGGCAGGGCGAGGTTGTCGCCGG